GAAGCCGTTCAATAAATGTAATACTCGTAAATTGAGCTCTGATCACTGTGGACAATTAGTTTCGCTACCTTATGTTCACAAAAAGCAAGTAAATAAAAAAGCTTGGAGAAGTTTAGAAGTAACATAGTAAAAAAACTTCTATCACTTTCATACCAAAATAATCCAAATTTTTTAAATGTAACATTATTTAAGCTTATTTACAATGAATTTAATAATACTTTTACTTCTAAAATATTCTCCTTGAACAATCGCAAGGCATTTAATGAGTGGGCGACAGTAGGAGTCAATAAGAGTAGACAAAGGTTATATGAACTTTACAATGAAAGGTCATATAATCCTAGCGTCGAATTTAGGGAATATGTATAAAAATATTCCAAAATATTGAAAAGAGTGTGCTCCATAGCCAAGTCATTGTATTTGAGCAACAAAACAAAGACGGCTTCTAATAAAATTAAAATGGCATGGAGTATAACTAATAGTGAAACTGGTAAGGTTAACTCTCGCAATTCCAACTATAAGCTAAGTTTTAACAATAAATTAACCGAATCAGACCAGGACGTTGCAATGGTTTTCGAGAAATATTTTACTGATATTCCTATCTTAACCACTAAGTCATTGAATTCTTCTCCTGCCGTCGCCTAATCATTACTTAAACAAAATGTAAATGCGTGTACAAAGAATTTTACATTTCATAAAGTGTCATCAAAAGATATTCTAAAATATTTTAAGACTATTGATATTAAGAAAACCGCCGATCTGTGGGGGATTTCCGTTAAAGTTATGGCGTCTATAATAGATGAAATCGCACCTCAACTATCTATTATTTTTAATACTAGTATCAAATCTGTTGTGTTTCCTGGTTTAATGAAGCACAGTAAAGTAATAACTTTATTTAAATCTGGCAGTACACTGGACCCCACTAATTTTAGACCTATTTCTGTACTGCTGAACTGCCAACACTTAGTATAATTTTTGAAAAAATTATTCTTGATCAAATGTTAAATTTTTTAATGTAAATAATTTACTTCATAAAAATCAATTCGGTTTCACAAGGGGTCGCTCAACAAGTGATGCCGGTGTTGAGCTTATTAAATATATTTTTAATGCATAGGAGAATTCACAGGATGCTTTGGGTATATTCTGTGACATATCTAAAGCCTTCGATTGTGTTCAGCATGAAACATTAATCAGGAAACTTCAACACTACGGTGTAAGAAGTGATGCTCATAAATTAATTATTTCATATTTAAGTGACACAACGCAAAAAGTTGTCATTAATAGTATGAGTTCTTCCGGGTCGACTGTACAAATGGGCGTACCTCAGGGCTCAATTCTCGGCCCCTTTCTGTTTCTTGTATATATTAATAACTTACCTTACAAAGTAGAAGATAACCATGATATAGTATTATTTACTGATGATACTTCATTAATTTTCAAATTAAAATGACAGTCATTAAATTACGACGAAGTAAATAATGTTATAGCTAAGTTAGTCAATTGTTTAATGTTAACAACTTGCATTTAAATGGTGCTAAAACTAAATGTATGAAATTCGTAACTCCTAATGTCATACATGTTAATACAAATGTAATTTTAAATGGGGAAGAACTGAGTCTTGTTGATACCACCATTTTTTTTGGAATCACACTAGACGCAAAGTTTCAATGGCTCCCCCCATATATCAAAACTAGCTAGCAGACTTAGTTCTGCAGCATATGCTGTAATAAAGATTAGAACTCTTACCAGTGTTGAAACAGCTAGAATAGTTTACTTTAGTTATTTCCATAGCATCATGTCATATGGTATTTTGCTATGGGGACACGCGACTAACACTGAAATTATATTTATGTTACATAAGAGAGTCATTAGAGCAATATATAATTTAAAACCAAAAGAGTCACTGAGACAAAAATTTAAGGAAATTAATATATTAACTTTAGCCTCTCAATACATTTATGAAAATGTAATATACGTACACAAGAATAAACGTAGTTTTTCAAAAATAAGTGATATTCATTCTGTAAATACTAGGAACAGACACAAGCTAGTAGTACCAGTTACGATTCCACCAAGTCAGTAATTCATTCTTGGGGCGATGTATACGCTTTTACAACAAAATCCCAGAAAATATACAAAATTTGTCATACACAAAGTTCAAAATTTTTATTAAACTAAGTTTGTATAAAAGGGTTATTATAATATTAAGGAATTTATGGATGATAATAACCCCTGGGAAGGGTGATCGCTACCAAGCTATTTCTATAATCTATTTCTATAATAAATATAATCCCGCTGGGTTTCTTGCTGGTTTTTCCGAGGACAGAGGTTTTTTTGCGAACCAGTGGTAAATGAAAAAATTGACTTTCAATAAGTATTGTTTACAATCTATATTGAATAAAAAAGTTTCTGTTTCTGTTTCTGTATCATAGATCTTACTTTCATAAGTCATTAATTTATAGGACTTTCATATATTTATATATACTAATATATATTTATATATTATTCATAAATTCATCATAGAGACCTATAGCATTGCTTTTGTATCATTGAGTTTACTATCATACGTTCCCAATATAGGACTAGTTATTGTGCTACAGTACTTCAAGCAGTCGGGCTCCCGACCACCCTATATATATGTACAACTGCAGATATGTATCTCCGGCAGCTCCTCCATACAAGACATCTATACATGAACACCTTCCACAACTTAGATTTACATAACTCCTTTGACACAATTTTTAACAAATTTTTTAATTATCTTATAAATGTTATTTATCTTTATTTTTATAATATTTTCGACTTGTATTTCTATAATTAATCATATTTTAAATATTTTTACAAGTTTTGAAATAAATTTATTTATTCTGAAAGACAATATTTTGCCTTAAATTTACTGTAATATTTGTCTAATGTATGAAATGTATTTATATTAACTTTATCTATTTTTGATGCCCCTTTATATTTAATTTAATTATTAATAATATTAATAATATTGGGCCGTCATAGTATGAAAATCCAGCTTTGACTTGATAGCTATCTATTGGAGGCCATAAAGTCAGAACAATCTAGTCATACTTAGATACATATTTCGTTCCGTTAATGTCTTACTTAATACAAAGAAATTCTATATAAAACCGAATTCAACGTAGATTTACTCGTTGGTAGGACTTATTTTCTGAATAGGGTTTCGGTGGGATAGTATATCTATTCCTACTGTCAAATAGCATATAAAAAGTAACACAGAGTTTGCTGTGTTTGGACTAAAGGGATATAGAGAGCGAGTATAAATACAGGTTTTGGGGGATTACATCTTAGTCACTCATATGTGACTACGCATTTGTAGTCTTTTTTGTTTCAAGTTGGCTGCAGAAGTCCATGAACTATAACTAAGCAACAGGTGGACTAAAAGATTCTGATTTTTATAAAAACATTCATTTTTATATTTTAAACTAAAGAGAACAAATGTGCCTGGACGGCACTATGGAATCTTCCCCGATCCAAGAAGTATGAGAATGCCTAAAATGATATCCTTTTTATATAAACATTTCATTGAATGGATATACTCAGCTATGGACCGTATTATATTGGTTGTATATTATAATATATAACACACTTCTTCGGTTCCGTAATCGAGTAAAGCGTGCGTGATAGATCGTAGAAACTATGCCAAATATGAGGCAATCAATGGAGAGGTCTGCGTTCAGCAGTGGACCTTAAAATGCTGTAACGGTTGTTGATAAAAGAAGAAACTTAAATTTGCTCGTCCAATACAAACATTGCGTTGAAAGTAGCAAGCAAAGTAATTGTTTACATATTATGTGTTCGTCGTATCTCGTTTATAATTAAATCATGTGGTGCTTGAAAATGCTTATAGCGCCATCTATATAAAATTATAGTAGTTAATTTATTATTACAGTAAAATAAAAATTATATGATATTTTGAAAAGATCGGGTAGGAATGATATTAAATAAAAAAAACTTAAAATCGGGTAACGTAATTTTTTAATTTCACGACAATGTAAATTTTAAAACTTTTGAAAATGCAAATGGGAAGTATAATATGTTTACTGCCAAGCTTCTATGATCCCTACCGAAACCAAAGAAATTGTTAATAACTCTGTCAAAATTCGATTTACCATATTGTTGGTACTCGGCGGTTAAGAAAAACACTATAAGCACGTACACCTACTAACTTAATAAATAACTTGCACAACACCATCTATCGATGACATTGTTTAACTATTGTACTTTTTTTAACTAAGATATTAGGATTTATCTATATATTTTTAATATTTTTTACGTTATTCTTTATTATTTTTGTTTACTGCATTTAGATACAATTATATCATTATAGAACACTATTTTACATTATTTAATTACAAAAATGAGGATCTTGATCACTCAATGCCACCATTTAACAAATTCTTACCAATATTTCGTACCCATACTTCAGAACATTAATCATAACTTTTGATCCGATGAACCGATTTTAATAAAACAAAGACTAAATTTAGAACGAAGATCAGTACTTTATACACAATACGTTAACAAACAAACAGACGGACAGAGCGACAAACAGACAATTCTAAAAGTGATAGAAATGTATTTAGTTACTTATTTTTAGTCACTCTCAATCAATTTAGTTTTGTTTTACTTCTTAAAACCGAACTGACCCACACTGCAGCTACCTTATATTTTCAGCAAGAATGGGTTGGCTCCTCCGGCAAAGGACCATGCTCTCACAGAATACCAATGTATCATAGCTGGTTAATGCTATTCTGTTTCGTATGATGATTGTAGAAAACAAGATACTCTTTTACTGGAAACGAGGCATTCCATCTTTTTCCTCAGGGGGTGACAGCGCATCTGCATTTTAATTCTTAATCGATGATAGATGTATAAGTCTATGAGTCACAGCATCCACTTACTATCAGGTGGACTGTGTGCTTGTTTATCTTATTCCTCAAAAGAAAAACTAATGCGATGATAATTGATTTCAGCAACAAATGTATGCAAGGATGGTACAACATAAGCTGCAATTTGACAAGATTAGAACAATTTTCATACAAATCAAGGTACGTTTTGTGTTTCACACTTAAGATCATTGTAGTAACCGTAAGTTTTCAGGCCTCAAGGATTGACTTAAAAAGTAACTTCAATGGAGAACAGCCCGAATAGTCCACGACCAAGTTCTTTCCGATCGGTTTAATTCACTTGCCATGAGTATAGAAGAATACGAGAATACGAGAGGAATATCAAGAAGGTTACACAAATCACCTAAGAATTTGTTAGCAAGAGAGTTTCCCTAATCCCTACCCAATTCCCCGCTAGTAGAAATAATTAAATGGCCTGCGATCTGGTATAATTTAAACTGGCAGATTAACTGCGGGCATAATCTCGGTACATTATATACATGCAGATCGTTTATATCGAGTATCTGTCATGCTTTTGTGCGAGCGAAGAACGAAAGAAAGAACTGTTTTCTTAAAGTTTACACTTTTTACGTAATCAAGTGAAAAGACAGACACTGCCAATTCGTCCTTTGCTATATGGCGTTAGGTAGGGTCAAAACAACATAGCCTTCTGTCAATCATTTTATACCTGCAGCCTGTGGGCCAACTGTACGCAGCAAGTCGTGGGCGCTCTGAGAGCTCAGCCTTCAGGATGTCTATGGGAATTCCTCGCTATTGTAGTGCGTCAGCGTGTTTACAGATTCACAAGTGGATGGCTATTATGCCGTAATTAGAAAAAGAGCAGCATCGTTGTTGCGCAGAGTGAGAGACAGTCCTAACAGCTACCTGAGGGTCATTTCTGAACATATTGGGAGTCCTTTCTGAACATATTGAGAGGCACTGGATTCGCCTACCTATAGGATAATTTATTACAGTTTGTTTCTCTATATGTGTATTACTAACAAAGTTTTTTAAGTTTCATTGTATTACTAACACTCTATGAACGTTCTAGTCTGAAATAAATTATAAATGAATAAAATATATTGTATTAAGAACTGGCAGTTATAATTGTGAGATGCTAAATTGTTTATTAATAAAAAAAATTAAAATAAATGCTAATTTGTTTATTATTTTATTTTTCAGATTTTAATGATCTTGAATATATGCCAGAAAAATTACTTTGAAATAATTAAATAAATTTTATTAAGCTATAAATATAAAATATATGGGTTATAGAAAATGCAATGTCTTTTATTAGTCAAGAGCCATGCACGGCATGTATTTCAATTTCCCTTTTTTTAGAAACATTCGCGGGTACGTACACACTGCTTCTCACCAGCAATTAAATATATTCTAATAATAGCAATAGAAATCAAGCCAACAAACAAACAAAAATTCATGTTTTTAGGTCAGAAGTCTTCGCGGAAGTGTACAAAATTCACCAAAGCTTCATCGGAATTTGATGAATGGTATAACAACTCGTAGATTATAAACTAAGAAATATTCATTATTATATCAAAACTAACTTCCCCGTGGCTCCGTACTCATGTAGGTTGGAAGAGAACATCATTTTGAAAAATTACAGCCATTGTTATTCCTAAAGACCTAAAGTATTTATAAGACACAAAGCACCATAAAGAGGTAATTACACAAATAAGCTCCAGATCAATCCTACGAACCGTGCATTTTTCCAGTATAAAAAATAGCCTGCGCCACTCCTTGGCCCATAAACGATCCCGTGTTGTATTTAAATCATATCACTCCGTTAGCCCCTTACTGTGTCAAAGAATTACAAACCAACAAACACATTATCTTATTTGTAACTAGCGACCAGCGCCGATCTAATGTGGTCATTAAATAGTCATCAATGACCATATATTTCATTTAATTTGTTGATTTGACAGTTTTCACTTTAATACGTGGTGAACCCATGCTGCAGTTATATTAGTAGTATAGTTGTAGCACGAATGGGTCGGTTCGACCGGGAAATGACCACGCTCTCACAGAATACCAGCGTAAAAAGTAGCTTAATGACTGTAGAGAACCGAAGACCATTTTTACTGGAAACGAGGCATTCCATCTTAGTCCTCACGTTCCTTGCATTTTGATACGTAATCGAGGATAGATGTAGATGTCTGTGGGCCACAGCAACCACTTACCATCACGTAGACTGTATTCTCGTTTCTCACCCAATCCTATAAAAAATATACTTACTCCAAGTTTTTCGGATAAAATTACTGTAGTCGGTTCAGCCGTTCGCAAGATTACTCCGGACGAATAGACTTTTTTTAATTTGGTCACATACTATGCAATAACTTTGAAATCACCTCAACTCAATACAAGGCAGTTATTTCGACAAAGATACGAGTAGATACTTCAATTTTAATTAATATATATACGGGAGGAATATAAAAACAATTTTTTTTTGTAAAATATATTCAATTAATCAAAGTATGCTCCGTTGTTATCTATGCACTTTTGCCATGTTATAGGTAGTTCATTGATACCTTTAATAAAAAAACCATGAGGGCGAGATTCAATAAACTCTTTGAAGGCGGTTTGGACTGCCGCATCGGAGTTGAAATTTTTCCTTGTAAGAAGTTGTCCAAATTCTGGAAAAAATGGTAATCTGTTAGAGGAAGGTCCGGGGAGTCGTGCATGTCGAGATTCCAATTGTATCTCATCTAACTTAGTGGTTGTTTGTTGTGCAGTGTGTGGTCTTACGTTGTCGTGAAGCAGCAATGGCCTAGAACGATTGACAAACTTCGGTTGTTTAGCAGCTAGTTCTACCTTCATGGTTTGCAGTTGCTAACAATAGATATCTGTCGTAATCGTTTGGACAGATTTCAGAAAGCTGTAGTGAACGACACCGGCGCTAGTCCATCAAACACTCACAGGTAAATTTTTCTGTGTCAATTTTCGTTTAGGGCAGGATTTGGCTGGGTATCCAGAGTTCAGCCATCACGACGAGCGCTTCCGATTATTGTACAGTATCTACTTTTCATCACAAGTAATGATTCGATTTAAAATCCCTTTATTTCTGTGACGGTTGAGCAAAGTAACACAGCAGTCGGCGCGTGTTTGTAAGTTCGATTCACTCAATTCATGAGGCACCCATTGTTAAAGTTTTTTTACTTTCCTGATTTGCTTCAAGTAGATTAATACAGTTTTATCACTTACCCCGAAGCCTGCAACTATCTCTGAAGTGCTTTGTGATGGATCCGCTTCAACAATAGCCTTTAATTCTTCATTTTACACTTCGGTCTCCAGCCGTCCACGAGCTTGGTTCTGGAGGTCGAAATTTCCAGAAAATGTGTTTTTTTGAATCGTAGGTTTCTGAGTTGGTGCCACGGTAGAACTCGTACTCGTAAATATACCGATATTTCATGTTTTCCATTGTGCGGTAATAAGCGACGTCAAAGAAAAAAATAATGAGGAAAAAACAAATGAATGACTGTTTTCAAAACTCAAATGTACTAGCTAAATGAATTTATAAATTTGAATTTGGAATTCTTAACCAAAGAGGAGATATTTCAGATCAAAGTGGTCAGTACGACAAAACGCTAATTTCATATGTAGGGACCGAATATATAATCATCACTATCATCATCATAGTCATTGAAGCCATTCACAAGTCTACTGCTGAACGTAGTACTCCACCAAGGAATGTCTCAAGGCACGGTCCTGAGCCACCTGCACCCATCGACTTTCGGCATATCTTACCAGGTCGTCACCCCATCTAGTTGGGGGCCGCCCTACAATTCTCTTACCTTTAATTATGTATTATTAAAATGTATTAACAAGTAGGGATGTAAATAAAAATAATAATAGTTCAATAACGGCATTTAATATTACATCAGAGTGTTATTAATAAATTGCCCATCTTCATTGCCGAAAATATTAACCTGCTTTCAAATGCTTGTGTTCTGTTGTAAGACGTTAATCACTATTCAGGAACGTATTCATCTGTAGAAACAATATCACATTGTATTATATGATTTCTTATGTTCCCACGAACACTACACATTGAATAAAATCGTATGCAATCGATTAGTATGATTAGTATGATATCGATATTAAAAAGTGAATTAAATTAAATTAAAAAAAAAATCACTACTCACCACATTCCTTAGCTGAAACACAGTCATAATTTGAATTTCTATATGTTTTCTCTTTACAAACGCATTTAACTCTGCAAATATCCTCTTTGCCTCTCAAACAGTTGAATTGTATGTACCGATTTAGACAGGTCTTCTCTGGACAAGGCGACATGCAGCCTAATATCTCATTGCGTTTAAAACATCTCATCGGATCTGAAAAATAAAAAATTAAAATAGGTATGTACTATATTATTTTTAACACAGTAAAAAACTAATACTTAAACACTTTAATTATCATTCAGTCCTATCCGCCTAGCACGCTTAATGGGTTTCTTTGCTGATTAGAGCAAAATGCTGATTAGCCAACCTTATAACCACCAATGGCGACAAGACGCGGATAGAATGGATAGATTTGTGATAAATTATATAATTCATAAAAATTAAATAGGCGTAATTTATCACAGTTGTTATGAGTATAAATAGACCAACGCTGACAATGATAATATTTTTTTTATAGGAAATGGGGCAAAAGAGCATACGGATCGGCTGATGGTAAGTGACTACCGCCGCCCATGAACAACTGCAACACCAGGGAAATTGTAGGTGCGTTGCCGGTATTTGAGAAAGGAGTAAGCACTTTTCTTGAAGGTCCCTAAGTCGTATCGGTTCGGAAAAATCGCCGGTGATAACTATTTCACAGAGAGGACACATGGAAGAAAACTCCTAGTGAAACGTACAGTGGTGGATCGCCTAGCATCCAATTGGTGTGGATGGTATCGGGCGTTTTGCTGCGATGTGCGTTCATGAAATTTGGTGGCTGGGATTAATCCCAACAAATACTCAGAACACTCCCCGTGATAGATGCGAAAGAAAATGCAAAGGGATGCAACATCTCTTCGCAGCGCAAGTGAATCGAGCCGATCGGAAAGCACTCGGTCGTCGACGTCTCGAGCCGCTCTGCGCTGGATGCGGTCAAGTGGTAGGAGCAGGTACTGGAGAGCCCCAGCCCAGAGATGGGATAGTATTCCATGTGAGGCCGAACTTGCGCCTAGAAAGTTGCTGTATTTAAAGGTAAGATAGTAAGATAAGACTAGGGATGTCTGAACTTATTTTACCATCACCTACCAATGAATAGCGTAGGCTATTCTCTTCCGGTAATCCTACTTAGAATGTTGTCCTGCTCTCTTCGAATTGTAGGATTTACTTCTATTCCTAATATTATTTAAGATATCAGTACCTTAGTTAATGAGTACTACACACATTCTTTTTACCATGTTTTGTATATCTGTAATCTAGCTTTATTCTGATATGGCCAGTATTTGTAAAAGTGACTATCTTAAAGTTACCTATATTAAGTCAAACGAGCTAAGTTCTGCAAGATCCGCCGCAGAAGAACACAAAAACTCTCCGTACACACTTTTAATATCAAGTCTGTTAGACGGGAAAGGAACTAGAGTCTTCAGCAGATTCGACAGCATACAAGCAACTGAATAGACAGATCTACAAATGAATGCGGCGGGACTTAGGCAACTTTAATACTCTCGTATTGAAGAAGCGATCGAGTGGAACCAGGGCTCCAAAGTTTTTGTCAGAGATCTGCGGCAAGAAATAGCCAACTATCGAAGCTATAGACCGAATGTTGCAGCGTTGTTTTCGGGACAACAGAGATTTTACGAGAGATTGAGAGGTTCTAAGGGCAGCTGTACACGTCATCCTGGGAGCCATGCGCAAGTGTTAGTAACGATCCAAGAGCAAGCCTTATCCGACAATATTCCGATGATATTCTGGACGTTAGTATGAGCAAGATTAGAATGGGTCTTCAACATCTTAAAAAAAGCAAGTCCCCGGCGAGGATGGAATTACAGTGGAGCTTACGAAAGCGGGTGGAAAACCGGTACTTGAAGTCCTTCAGAAGCTCTTTTATTCCGTCCTCCATGGTGGCACTACTCCGGAGGCGTGAAGCAGTATTACGGTTGTCTTTTTCTTAAAGAAAGGCGACAACGCTCTCTTGAAGAACTACATACCAATTTTTCTTCTGAGCCGCGTCTGTGTGCTGTTTTCGAGAGTCATTAGAATCGTCTCGCACGCAGAATCGACGACTTCCAGCCTTAGAATTGGCTTTATCATCATATGTATTTATATTTAGACCACATACATACTCTTCAGCAAATTGTACATAAGACCAAGATGTACAATCTGCCACTATATCTTGCATACAGTCCCATCACCGGTGCCGGTATATCGAAGTGCTGAAGTGTTTGCACAGTAGGGCTAAGATGGTTATCCGAGTAGGAAATTAAAGTACGAAACCTATTTAACTGCAGGAGGTGTAAGACAGGGTGACGTTATACCCCCGAAACTCATCACCGCTGCATTGAAAGACGTTTTCAAGCTTCTAGACTGGAAAGGATACGGTATTAACATCAATGGCGAGTACATCACTCACCTTCAGTTTGCCGACGATATGGTCCTTATGACAAAATCGCTGGAGGTTCTAAGTACTATACATAATGACCTCAATAGTGCCACCCAAGGGATAGGTCTTAAGATGCGACCCCCCACTAGATGGAGTGACGACCTGGTAAGACATGCAGGAAGTTATTGACTTTGTGGCATTTCTTGGGTGAGGCCCTTTGTTCAGCAGTGGACTTTGTAGGGCTGTAATGATGATGGATGAAGATGAATTAAACGAGATCAAACCAGCATCAGGTTTCAACTACATTTCAACAGTAAGGATTGAGGAGGAGGAGTAAGGATGTTTTAAAGGTTCCTCAACTCACACTGTACACTGTACAGGCGGTGAACTCTTCTTTCAAATTTTAATCATAAAGTAAATAAATTAAAAGTAGTAGTAAATTAAGTAAATTTTAATCAGTAAAGACTTTGGGAAAATAATTCCATACAAATTCTTCCGTCCATAAAACTTCCTCCGTATACGAATGATTTTTAACTGAATTCGGGAGTGGCATACTCTAAAAAAGTAAATCTAATAATCATAAATTTTAACAAAAAGTAAAAATCGACTTCGAAGTGCTAAAAATAAGTTATTTATTTGTTACCCTCTGGGGTGGAAGGTTTTTCCATGTTTATATGGAACCATCCTTGAAGTTATATTCTATTTAATAAAAAAAAGAATCTTAAAAATCGGGTCTCAATAAGGGCTAAATAATAATCTCCCGCACACCAGATGTCGCTAATTGACAATGAGGTGAAGTTTTATGTTACACAATGTAATTTAATTGAGAAAATATTTATAAATAAAAGCTTATCACTTTCTAGAGTTTTTTTTATATAGGATAGGATGACAAACGAGCACACAATCCACCTGATGGTAAGTGGTTGCTGTGGCCCATAGACATCTACATCTATCCTCGATTACGAATCAAAATACAGATTCGTTGTCATCCTTGAGGACTTAGGTGGAATGCCTCGTTTCCACTAAAAAGGGTCTCCAGTTCTCTACACTCACCATACGAAACACAGCAGCATTAAGCTACTATTTCACGCTGGTATTCTGTGAGAATGTGGTCCTTCCCCGGTCGAGCCGACTCATTCGTGCTACAACTATACTACTAATATAACTGCAGCATGGCTCTACCACGTAAAAAAAGAGTATTATATTATATTATAATACAAAAAACGATACCTCAGTTGTTTGCTTTTTAAATTGTTGCACTTTTTTAATTGTTTTTATATTTTCCTACTTTTATGAATAACTATGTTTCGGTTTATTTATTTTGAATCTAATTTATATAAAATATTACTAATAGTACAGAAAGAAATATAAATATTTACATTCTCCTAACAAATTAACTTACCGGCTATGAAATCTGTCAAATATTACACCACCTTTTGAAGTACCACCGCCCTGGTGGCAGAGGTCGTGGATTATTCATTGGCGAAGATATTGCCTTACATACGTACAAAAACATACTGGAATTGTGAACCTCTACCTTTTTAAGTCGGATAAAAATCCGTTTTAAAAATTCTCTAAAAGTTCGTTAGTTTATTCCTATCAAAAGTCCATAGCTAACATATGCCTCTCACTAGATTGGCTCAAAGGAGGATTTTATCATAGTTGCCATGATTGGCAGGCGCGTTGGCAACCATAATTATTTAATTATTTTCAGTTGCTATCGGGGAGATCCTGCAGCCCATCTCCTGCTTCAGCTTCCCTCTGTCGCCTCCTACAACACCCACGGGATGTGGTATAAGTAAAGCTATAAACATTTAAAAAAAATATGCGTTGTGTAAATTCTCTAAAATATATTATTTATGTTATTTAATTAATACCGACAGTTGTTTAAAAAAACTGATATGTACACAAGCAATAATATTAATATTGAATTTCCTTGTTGAAACAAACACAGCGTTATCTAATTGACGTTTCATCTTGTTTATTTCCTTCTTCGTTTTTAATGAAAACGTTATATAATTGGCTTGTTACAAAAAGACTTTAATAAAATAGAAATTTGTAATTACATTTTCATAAAATATTTCGTCAGAATATTCATCAACCTTTAGCATTCCACCTCAGTTAAATTCGTGACTTGCCTAAAATTGAATAAAACTATTTATACAAATTTTATCGAACTTATTTTTAATTCCCAACGTTTCGGGTGTTTAACAGCACCTATGGTCACGGGGCCGACTGAGATGTTTGATGTCCCAATGTCATAGTTAGCCCGTTAACCTTCAGTTTTTGAATATAAAGTTTTGGTCCGATCTAAGCTGAACAAATTTACAGTATCTTAAAATCTTGCAGGGGTATGCTTGGATTTGGATTTAATTTTGTTAATTATAGGACCTCAAGCAGATTGCAGCACCCATCCATCTTTTCTATTGAAATTAGGATGTTTTTTTTTAATTCCAATAGCCTCGCGTATCATCCTTGATAAGAATCGGTGTTCTTTTATGAAGATTTGTGGTTTATCAAATCTGATGTAATGGTGAAGATGATCTTGAACATGTTCACCGACTGCAGACTTCCCGGAGCGTCAGTGCTTCACGACGGGCTTGGGATCCTATAATTAACAAAATTAAATCCAAACCCAACTATACCCCTGCAAAACCTCAAGATACTGTAAGATCGTTATGCGTAGATCGGAACAAAAATTAATATTCAAGGTAACCGGGCTAACTATGACATTGGGATATCAAACATCTCAGTCGCATCCGTAACCATGGGTGTTGTAAAGCATCCGAAACGTCGGGAATCCAAAATAAGTTAATTAATCACGATAAAATTCATATAAATAATTTTATTAAATGTGTAGTGTTCGCGTATATTTAACAAATTATTGCCTAAATATTTTATTTCCTATTTATGTTTCATTTTTGAGATAATTAAGCGCCTTCTGTTAGATTACATACCTCTATTCTTTTTGCGGCTGCTAAGTGCTGATGTACGTCATTAACAAATGTATGGACTCTTGTAAAAAATTATATACAGTTGTTCTTTTCCTTTTACACGGGAGGAGCGGCTGCTTGGGGTGGCCGGCACCGGTGGAGTCCGACATACCCCGTCCTTGTCCACTTTTTTCCACATGAAAAAAGTGGGCAGGCTGTAAGGCATTCCATCTTAGTTCTCAGAGGTGACAACCCTACTGTGCTACCCTTATCTTTGTTTAAAGTTGGCGGCAGGTTTCCATAGATTACAGTGACCACTTACCATCAGGCGGAGTGTAAATGCCTGTCACTTCAGTTTTAAAAAAAGAAAAATAATACATAACAAAGGCGCTATACTTATTTAAAAACATTTATTTTATTACTACTAATCAAAATACTGACCTGCGAAGCAATATTTCACCACAATTAGGAATGTACAACAGAACATCAAAGTTAGAGGAGCGCGCATGTTTACTGTGTCACACACAAATAGTACTGAAAATTCCGCAAATGATTGGTCTTAAATGTATAATACTGTCCTACTTGCAGATGCGGTTTAAAATGCTATGTTCTTTATTATCAATGTTTTGTACATATATAATAGGTATGCATAAACGAACATGACATAATATCCTGTAACAAAAAAGTCACGTTCTACTGTAGTTTTAGTCGTTTCTCGCTACAAAAACATGTTTTGATATTTTGTGATTGCGCTAAATATTTGAAATTAAAACCCACGAAATGTGAAAATTATAGAGACTCACCAAATTATGTACTATACCATATATATATATATATATATATATATATATATATATATATATATATATATATATATATATATTTAAATAGATTTAAAGTGACAAACCAGCACACATCATACAGTCCCCACCCGATGGTAAGTGGATGATGTGGCCCACATTTACATTTATCCTCAATTAAAAATCAAAACACAGATGCGTTGTCACCCCTGAGGACCAAGATGGAATACCACGGTTCCAGTAAAAAGGGTATCCGGTCCTCTACACTCACCATACAAGACACAATAGCATTAAGTCGCTATTTCAAGCTGGTATTCTGTGAGAGAGTAGTCCTACCTCGGTCGAGCCGACCCATTCGTACTACAACCATAATATAGCTACAACGTGACTCTACCACGTATAAAATGACGTACTAAAGTAATTATGATTTGTTTGCTTTGCGAATTTAAACTTTAAACAATGTATAGGTATCTCGTAATATTAAGTAAAATATACGGCACTTGGAGGCGTATTTCCCTTTCCGTGTCCAACTGGCGCCACCGGTCTCGCGAAATCCACACGCTTATGTATTACTACGGAACTCTACTTGCCCGTGTTCAATTCGCGCCAACTGAATACGCCTTTGTGATCAAGCAACGTTATAAGAGGTTTTACAAAATAGTGTGCAATTGAATTGATCACGGTTTTTAAACTAGTCAGACATTTTCGGAAATGCTTGTTGTTAAAGATGAGATAGTTCGTTGACACTTATATCAAGTTAGGAAAAACACTTGAACTGACTTGAAATAAATTATCGGTTAAAAACACATTTCATCGGATGGTATTTCTTTTTTGAGCCGTCATCAGGCTTAAGTTTTCTTCTGTTTTTCTACTTACTTTTTTTTTACTACGTTACTTTCGCAGGAAGGAATTTATATTATTATACGTGGTAGAGTCATGCTGCAGTTACATTAGTAGTATAGTTGTAGCACGAATGGGTCGGCTCAACCGGGGAAGGACCACGCTCTCACAGAATACCAGCGTAAAATAGTAACATAATGCTGCTGTGTTTCGTATGGTGAGTGTAGAAACCGGAGACCCTTTTTACTGGAAACGAGGCATTCCAACTTAGTCCTCACGGGTGACAACGAATCTGCATTTTGATTCATAATCGAGAATAGATGTAGATGTCTATGGGCCACAGCAACCACTTACCATCAGGTGGACTGTGTGCTCGTTTGTCACTCTATCCTATAAAAAAATATCTACTATTTTTATACCGCGAATGCTTTGTGGCATTCTTTGGGGGAGGCCTATGTTCAGCAGTGGACTTGTGAAGGGCTGTAATGATGATGATGATTGTTTATAATCTGCCTCTGCGTTATATAACTGAGTTGTTTTGTAAGCACAGCTGATTAAATATGGATTCTGTACGAAATACAAATAAATCCATCGTTGGGTGTCTCCAAACCAGTCAATATTCCAGTCACATTTTTCAGCGTTTGCAAAAGTGAGTTTAAATTAAAGATGGCGCCTCTTCTCTCACATTCCCTTGAAATGTATGCAAATGATTTTTACATTTCTTTTGCCTTAAATAATCATATTATGCCGAATAAAAAGTTACGAAATCAAGTTGAGATTGAAGAGGAGGTTGCTAACTTATTTTCTTGGAAAAAATATAACCTTTTATGAGGGCGGCATACTTGTATCTCGTTGGGAAATAATTGTATATTCTACAATTGAGAGTTCTTATATAAAAATGAATAATTTGTTTTTATACAAATCTACAAGACTAATGTTAATTCTAAACCGCAAGAAATTTTTTGATCCTCGGATGATTTATAAAACATGTTTATGTAATAGCATACATAATATTATACAACTGTCACCTCCTTATTAATAAAAATAAATAAGTAAAATTTCAGTAACATTAAGTTACAGATGGTACTTTTAATTAATCTTTTTAAAACTGAGTTTCCGGCAGTAAAAATTAACCCAGCAACGAAACTTACGTTTTTATTTCTTTCGTGTGCCAAATTGTTAAATTTATTTTATATTTATCAAGTTTCAATCAGCACCTTCATTTTAAGTGGCAGCTGCACCTCGTTTCGTCACGGAAGATGTTTTTAAATAATTACTATAAGAAATGCCAGAAAACTACCTTATGTACTTCAATAGATGTCAATATCACAACCTTGCTTAACTTTGCCAGAAGTAAAATAGACGGGTCAGCGTCAAAGTTGGTATGATAGTTATTGTCGTTAACTCGCCTGCCTAGTGTTACGATTAAAAATACCTGTGTTTTCCTTCCTTTTTGTGTTTTTGTGGTTTTTTCTAGTTATAAATTTAGTTTGTTTTTTAAAAAAATTAAAAAGGTTTTTTTAATTTTTTTGGGAAAAAAAGGGTGTGTAAAAAATTAGTTTATATATATATACTACACAGTTACTGTCAAACTTTATAGACGAAGTAAACAAATGACTAGATGAGAAAAAAACATGTATTAATTGCATTCATCGATTTAAGTAAAACCTTCGATACCTTGAAACATAACATTCTTATAAGAAAACTCAAAAACTCTGGTGTTAGAGGACGTTTCTTAAGATGGTGTAAAGATTATGTTAGCAATCGATATTTCCAAGTAAAGATAGAAAATAATTTAAGTATTAAAACGCCTATGACTACTGGTACGGCACATGGATCAGTTATAGGGCCACTCCGTTACTTAACATACGTAAATGAATTAGAAAATATCATTAAAAAATGTAGTTTATACCAATATGCAGATGATACGTGCCTTCTGATAAAATGTGTATATCGCCATGCAAAAATTACAAGATGATTTTTCACGCCTCTCTATGTGGGCTCACGATCTAGGACTTGTAACAAATATACAAAAAACTAAGGTACTACACATTCATTCTAGTCATATCAAGAATATTATACCAGTAAGCATTATTGCTCATAATCATCTTTGTCTGCACAATATAATAACTTGTTCCTGCGAAAAAATCCCTCTTGTTAAGTATCACTCATACTTAGGACTGATTATAGATAATAGGATGAACTGGAAGAATCATATTGATTACGTGTGTGGTAAATTAAGGGCAATCCTAGCGAAATTTTATATTATTCGTAATAAAGTTTCATTTAAAATTCTTCTAAGCCTATATAATGCTCTAGTGGAATTGATAGTATCATATGGTCTTTAGTAGTTATGGACGAACTTTCCGCACTTACCTAGATAAAATTTACAGCTTACAAATAAGAATTTTAAAATCTATATTGCCTCAGCACATTAAGGACAAATATCGAAATGATTACTCATACCTTTTCACGTATGCAAGTTTTAAAGTTTTAAAGCACGTTGCAAAGTTTTACCCATACATAAAAAGGTGAAATATATGCTCTTAAAAGAATGTTATGAATACTCGATATACCCAACCCCAAGGGAACGCATTTATAACACTAGGAATAAAACACCTTATTCACTAATTAGAACTAATAATTACTACGGTAAGAGAACACGTAAATTTCTTATACCATACATATTAAATTCTATACCTACGGAGATAAAAAGCCAGCTAACAGCACAAAACTTGAAAACAAAACTTAAACATTTTTTCGCATAATAAGAATTCAAAAAAAATCTTTATATATTATTTCAATGAGAATCATAACGAGCTATATCTATCTATGCCAATAATTGTTAAATTAGACAAATAAACAAAACGTGTAACAAAATGAAATACATAAAAAAATTATTCCTTAAAAATACACTCCGTGTGTACGCGCATAAATAAGATAGTACAGTATATCGGATAAGCGAACAATTGAAGACAACAACGTTTTTACTTCACTATTCCAGGTACACAATACCAAAAACTACCTTCTCCACAAAAATCATTTAAGAAATACATATTACAGATTTTATATAAAATTTTTATGCCAAAATTTTTTAAATATTTTGTAGCACGTTATACTTTATATTTACTTTAAGTAAAAGTTAATTCAAATGTCATTTAAATAAAAGCTTAAGTAAATTAATGTATAAGAGCAAACTGTGCAGTGCCAAGACAAACAATAGATGTTTAATGGCACGAAGAAATTGATTTTGTAATTAAAACTGTTACTTTGTTGAATAAAATAAAAAAAAATCATGAGAGGTGTAGATATTAAGGCTCCTTTTTTGTATAAAAATCTACTATAGTTAGAAATAACTAAATCATCTGAAGGTAAGTGCTACACTCCACGGACACCTGCAGTAAACTTCAAACAAAGGCTACAGATGCATTGTCACCTCTGGGGACTTTGATGGAAAGTCTCGTTATAAAAAGACTCGTTAGCATTAGCCGTTTTACTTGCCAAATGAAGCTGTAAGAGTCGTACAGGCTAGCAGCACTAATATCACAGAATAAAGATACGCTGGTATATGGCTGGTATGGTGGATACCTTTATTATTTCTTATTTATATTTAAACGAGCAATTCTTGTATATATATATATATATATCGGAATCTCGGAAACGGCTCCAACGATTTTCATAAAATTTAGTGATTTATTTTTAGAAATTTTAGGTAATAAAAAACTGCTACAATATAAGAAGGTTAATTTTAACAAACTACTAACGATCGTAATAGCTCAGGTGAGATGTCGGTCGGGCGTGATATCGGAGTTCCGTGGTTCGCGTCCCGTCTTGGGTGCAACTTTTTTTCCTTTTTTTTTCAAATTCC